AGGGTCGATTGGGTCATAATCATCCCGATCATGTCTAAAAGTAAATATTATAGAAGCGATTAAATATTTTATTAAACTTTAATCATTAATTTTGTTCAATTTAAAGGAAATGGTGGTTGGAAACATTCCAACGCGTCATTTTTGTTCTCCCTACGCAACAAAGACAACCTTGCTCCATTTATTGCCAACATCAAGCAAGGTGAGGAGCAGTTTGCAATCTACTGTTTCTCTCGTTATGGACCATTATTTGGCGGAGGTCATGATCTGCGTATTTGTAACAATCCTCAAGTTAAGCAATCATGCAGCAATTTCGGATACACATACCAACTTCCCCCTGATTATGTCTATAACAGCGAACAGTCAAAGAACCTTCTTGCTCGTCAGCACAAATTCGTAACGACACAAATTGAAGTCTTCAACTGAAAAGTCTGAAAACTGCCTTTGTTTACTTACTTCAACGAAAAATAACATGATATCGATTACCACCGGTCTTAACAATCAATTTTAGACAGTGATGTTGCAAAACTATGAAGTATTAAGAATTAGTATGAATAGTTTAAGACGTGTGTACGAATCTTGAAAATTAGAATTGGTTGTTAGCCTCAACACTAGCAGTTCCTGGAGTCAACAAATCAAAGTCGTCGAAGAAAACGTGAAAAACTGATTGTTACAGCCACCGGTAATCAATTATGTATTGTTATTTTGGTTAATGCAAGTAATCAGCATTTAGGTAAATCAACATTTAATTTTCGACCGAATACTTTAAATCGGATCGGATCTGACCATTTTACATAATAATAATCTTTATTTATCCGTCTTAAGTATAAAAGTACAATGGATTTACAGTTTGATTGAAATTACGTTAAAATATATATAGTATGTTATGTACAGATAAGAATATTAAGTATGTATAGACAACTAAAAACTATGTATATAAGTGCACTTGCACGAGCTAAGAAGGAACGTTTATGTCTTTCGGTTCGCGATAATGTGTTTTTGCTACTAATTGTCCGTAAATCATAGGGATTATTTGATTTAAATGATGGGAAGGATCATTCATAATCGTCCGCGCGTCACGTTTCAGAAGTTCTTCTCTTCGATCTGAGAGGCTTTGTAGACATGCAGTCATTGTTATAACCAAGAACTCGGAGGCAGCGGGTCTGGGTTCGTTCAATTTCATTTACCAGATAGGTTGGAAGGTCACCCCAAACAGGTGAGGCATATTCAGGAATAGATCTAATATTGGATTTATAAAGGGTAATACCTACTTCCATTGGTAGATTAGCTTTCCTGCATTCTCTTAAGATATATACTTGACGGTTAGCTTTCTGTATAACAGTTTCAACATGATTGTTCCATTTGAGGTTGTTTTGAAGCCCCATTCCAAGTAGTTTAAATCTGTCCACTCTTTCAACTAGTTCATCACCGATATAAACAGGAGGAGGTTCCAATACTGATTCCGTGAAGCATATCTACATGTCCTTTGTTTTTTTGACGTTGATAGTCCTTTTGTTCGACACTGACCAATTTTGGATAATGTCTAGAGCCTGTTGGACATGGCTTATTTCCCCAGCTCCAACTGCTTGATCGAGTGTGCAGTCATCGGCATACTTCGAGGTATCGACGGTTAGGTTTGCAGGGATTTCATCCTCTAAATTATCGATGTACACATTAAATAGCATAGGAGAGATGACCGAGCCTTGCGGAACTCCAGCTGGGCATGGAGCGGATGATGACAGCATTTGAAGTAGCTTTACCTGTTGATTTCTCATGGATAGGAAATCCTGAATCCACAACCAAAAAGATTTAGTTAAGTTTCATAGAGGCCAATTTAGAAAGGAGAATTCGGTGGTCCACCATATCAAACGCTTTGCTAAAGTGAATGAAAATAGCATGGATACCTTTTCTGTCATGCGCAGTGTTTTCAGTTTCATCAAACCATTTTTGTGAAATTTCAACCAATACATCGCAATGATACAAAAACAGTGTTATTTGGCAGCTAAAAACCTTTCCTTGATCAACAATTCTGATATATGTACATATTCAACTTATTATGAACATGGCTGCACCGAGAGGTTCAACGCTGAGCCCGGGGTAAAACTTTCCAAGGGGGTCCCTATGACGTCATAGTTGTAAAAGGGGAGAAGTGTGTTTTACAATATATCACACTTTATTACATATTATCCGACACTAACGCAGCTAGGATTTATATTCTCAGTAGCAATCTTGTATCGAGAAATTGTAAAGGGCTTCGTTGTTTTGTGGGCCCCATTTGATTGGGGCAAAGTGCCCCCCACCCCTTTCGGCGACCCTGATTATAAACTATTGCTTTAAACTGATTTATGCTGTACAGATCATGTAAATATTTTACAAGGAATCAAATTTCAAAAACCAAGTGGTTTCTAATAGGCACCTAGCCCTTTATGT